GTTTTTTTAGTTTTATATTTATGTGTGAATAATTATGATTTCTGTTTTATTGTATTTCTTGTTAGTTTGTTTAGTTGTTATGCTATGAATTGATGAGTCCTTGTTATCATTATTTATGACTATTTATGATGGTTTGAAACATAATTTATACGAGCAAAAGAACCACACAAATCGACGTACATAAGCAAAAAAGACACGGGGCATAGGTTGACTTTCTTGTATTTTGTCGACCTCGTACCGGATTAGGTCGATCTCGAAACCAACACTTGATCTTCATTTTACGTCAAATGATTGGACACTTTGATAGAACACTTATCTTCTATCTCGTCGACCTCTTTCCTTATCCGGTCGACCATTTTGTTAATGACTGCCATCAAGTGGTCGACCTATATACCTTAGGTGGTCGACCATGTTGTTTCTGACGCCAACGAAATGGCCGACCAAGGTTTTATTCAGGTCGACCAAAAATAACAACTTAAACTAAGTGCGGTCGACCGCAATGCTTTCTCGTACTGCCCAAATTAGTCGACCGCCTTAAGGAATAGGTCGACCGAAAAGTCCATGTCACGGTGACATGCATGTCATAGTAGGCATACCCACTTGTGCTTGTTCATAATATACCTTGGCGCATTGGATTTGTAACCTCCAAATTTGGTTTTGGAAGCTTGGCTCGTTTAGTATTGTTGTCTGTTTTTGTTTTTTGTTGTGGTTTTAAAAATTGTCGAAACCAGGAAAAGAAAACATGTTTAGTTGGATTTTTTATTTTTGTTGTGAACTTTATAGCAACAGGTTTTGAAAACCAAGCCCAAATCAACAACACAATAAAAGATTCCAGAGGGGCAATTCTGGAGGAGATCCGCCTGCTGAAGTCAAGCTTCTTTTTCATTAAGTTTGTTTTTGCTTCTCGTAGGACTAACAGGGTTGCCCATTTAGTGACAAAAATGGCCCTTGCATCGGCAGCTCGACATTCGGTCGACTGCCGCTATTTACTTTTCAACCCCTTGTAATCTCCTGTCTATCTACAATCTATCTATGGCAAAAAAAAACAATAAAAGATGGCTTCGGGCCTGTTTCATCCCATGGTTGCCTACGAGATTCTTCCTCCATTTAAGTTATTTTTTTATTATTTTCCTCTTTCTCCATGACTTTCTCTATTCCCCCACACCCATTACTTTTCTTTGTGACTTTCCCAAAATCGCCTCTCGTTCTCATCTTCTTCTCCAAACTTTTCTCAGGCCGGGCAGGGACGACGTCGGGCTATTGGGACAGGAGCGAGGTCGGGAGGCAACTTCCCTCTCTTTCTCTTATTTTCTTCTCTGGGATGTCGCGCTACACACAAACAAACCGTCTACAGCGAGTCGATGGGCGGCAGGTTGTTGGGAGGCGGCTGCGGAGGACGGCGGTGGCTTCCTTTTATTTCTCCGATCTTCTTTACGGCAAACGGTGGCATCAGGCTGTTGGGCGGCAGTGACGCCGATGAATCAGATTTTTAGATCTATTTTTTTTTTTAATTTGAAATCAAAAGAGAACAACGGAAGTAAACATGTTTTGTATTGGTTTTTTATGTTCCGAAATTTGCTACTTTTTTTAGATAAACACGTTGTTCATTTGGATTGTGTTGGTGTTGTGTTGCTTCTCTGATGGCACAACCTTGATAAAACACAACAAGATAAAAATTATACTAAACGGGATGGTTAATAAAAGAAATGACATTGGACTACCTGTCTTTCCTTTTCTTGTTTTTGGAAATTTAATAGATGTCTCCTTTTCCCATAAAACTATATTGTTTGTGTAGATATTCTTTTGGATTTTTGGTCATCAACATTCGCCAAAAAATTTAGATCATGATGTTCTATTGTTTTGTCTTCTGTGACTTCTAGCTTTTTTGTGATGTTTACAGTTTTATTATCGACAATCAACAACTAATCCCACACTCACTTGTACGTTGTCTCACAAAATAATAAATGATTGACTGATGAAGCGATGGTTCCTTTTCTAAAGCTGCATAAAGCAGTAAAAAGTAAAAACTCAGTTACATGACAGATCTTTGATGCGATTTACTCACTTGAACTAATGAGGACTATTCACACAAGTACACAAATAACAACTCCTAACAATAACTAAAAAAACTAACCTAAACCAACTAAAACAACGAACAATAAACCAAAAGTCCTAAATAATAATTAAACACTAATTAAATAAGGAATCATGATACTCAAGCTCATAATTTCTCAAAAATCATCATCTTCTTCATAAGAAGGCACGTTTAGGATACATGTCTGAATTTTGGGTGTATTGTATTCATCATTATCATCTGTAGATGGTTATAATTAGTTTGTAGACATTAATCTCCGATTCTTAAATACTATATCAAATATTTTTAAAAATTCCCTTATAATGTTTAAAAATATTAATTGTTTTTATAATATATAAATTCTTTGTTAATCACAATCATGTATTATATGCACCCTACATGTATTTTAGGGTGTATTGGTAAGCAGGCTGGGCTCGATGGCAAGAGTAGTTGAACTTGGTGTGAAAGGGAGCCTATTGGGCTGTGACGTGCTAAACAGGCCCAATTAGTATTCTTGCGTGGCCAATACTACGGTGCCGCTAATAAAAGTGCGGCACCAGTGACGCTGTTTTTTATTGGGCCACATGGTTGTGACATGGCACTGGCTGAGTTCATTAATTCCAAACCCACATCCAGCTGACCGAGTCGGCCCAAACCAGCACCCCTAAGGTGACGGAACACCTATTAACTCCGTCTCTCATCTCCTTGTTTTGTATTTAGTATTTTTATTAATTCTGGTAGAACTTCATTTGTTTTACTCGCGTAAGCAAAAGAGTAAAAAGCACCACGAACTCGGAATCCAACGTGCCTTCGCCGGACTGTCATTTCCGGCGACTTCTCCATCTTCAACCCAATATGCAGACTGTATCAAACGCCTCCAGTAAATTTCTTGGTTGTCTTCCTCATTCCCTTGTCTTCTCTCTTTGTGCTCAGAGGAAAAGTCAGAAGGTCAATTTTGGGAGAGCAAAAAATTAATACGATGACTCTATCCCAGGAGTTATTGTCCGTTGTCCGCCTCTGGAGCATGCAGTACCTCCGACTCCCAACATCCTACTCTCATTTGTCCCTTGCCATTACCGCCTCACCATAGCAGTGATCGGCACCGACAAATTGAAAGCGCCTTCCCATTAATCATGGTAAGATGTGACGCATTACCCCGAGAACAACGAACTCCAAGTAAGGTACCCTGATTCTCCTTTCTTATTTTTGGGTTTGCATCTTTTAGGTTCTGGTGATGGGTTGGTTCTTTGTTTCTCGGTAGGGTGGAGTTGTGATGTTTATGAACTTCTTGCCAATCTAGTAATTAATTTTATCTACAAGCTTGAATTGGTAACATGAAATGAAAGGATGAAGCTGTGTTTTTAACTGTGGCCTTGGTTCTTATGCTATCAGGTGGGCCTCAATTAGCTTCAGGGAACTGATTTCATCAATGTTATAATTCAGTCTCTAATGAGGGGAAGTTGGGGAACACCCTTGAGAAATTTCTTCCTTTTTTTTGAAAGTTCTGTTGTTACTTGCATACTTAATCTTCTTTTATGATTGCTTTCGCTTGGCAGGGATCAAAAAGAGATGGTAAGACAGAAGATGGTGATGTTCTAATAGGAAAATCCAGAATGTAGTTCTTGGTGCTCGGACTGGACTGGATTTGCCACTGCCTCCTTGTTTAAGGATGTAATGGAGAGAAACTTCAATCTAAAATCGATATACTTTCCCATATACCAAACAGTTAACTATTCCAAAAATCCAAGAACACTACGACAGAACAAACAATTCAAAAGAAAGACAAATCAGAAAATATACAACTGAGCAGTAACAAACCAGACCACCAATAAAGTTAAAACAATCCCCAAAAGGGCAAGATCACGACAAGAACTACCAAGTCACAAACTAAAACTCAACAATTCAACCCAAATATGCACAACCCAAAATACCCGCCAAATTGCAAATAGCAGCATCGATCCTACTACAAATTACACCCCTCGATCTCCATTACACATAAGAAACAAAACCATAAACTGAAAGAGGGAAGAGAACACATCAGCAGAACATGGCCATATGCTCCACTTCCCCTGCTCCTCGCTGAACCTAGAACGAGAAAGAAACAACACAGAATCGAGCCTCCCAGCATCCCTGACTCACAACGTTCAGAGGCAAAAGAGAAATTAAACGACACGTTGAACCTCCCAGCATCCCTCGCCGGAAAACACATACTCCCTCGAAGTCTCGAATTACATGGAAGACTTTTCATTATGTGGGTAAGTCGCTCTACACATTTAGGAATTTGTATCGACGAGTCGAACAGGAAGGCCACAAGGGGACGACGCACAGGAAGGCGACTCTATTCTTTTGGGATGAACTGGTACTTTCGCCGAGGCAATATTCGACGAAGACAGAGGTCCGTCAAGACGAAGGCTTCCTTGGCCTCTGTTTACATGATAAATGTTGCGGGATATGGCAAGGTAATTTTGTGGAGCCGGGATTGACCACGGTGAAGTCGTCGGAAGTGTTGTTAGACAGTTAGTCGGAGAAGGAGATCGAGGAGACGACCATGTGTTTTGGTTTCTTCTCTCCCGTTTCTGCCGAATAACAAAGACACTCAACAGTTACACCAATTTTAAATTAATTATACACAAAATAACAAGAAAAAATAAGCAATAACGGGGACGTAAGTCCTGTTCCGTCTGTTTGGGTAGTAGCGGTTGGGTCCAATATGTATGGCCAACCGGTTTAAAGTTAGATTTAATAGACTTGGTTGGTGCCACGTCACAGCCATCTGGCCCAATAGAATACAGCGTCACTGATGCCGCACTTTTAATAGCGGCACCGTAGTATTGGCCTTCTTGCGTAGGCTCCTCTTTCTCTCTCATATCTTTTTTTCCCCCTTGAAACGACGCTGTACTAACTGAATCGTGAGTCATGACACTGACAAACGCCCAAGTCATGGCTGCTGCTGGGCTAGTTCGTGTTCTCCTTTCGGCCAAGCTTCCCTTATCTGCCATTTCTCCGGCCACGATCGGACGGACTTGCTTCTCCGGCGCCGCCTCCTTCTATTCTCACTTACCTCCACCTTTTCTCCTCAGTGCATCGAAGAGAAGAAGAGCCTGAGTCCGGCCTGCCAATGCTCTACCAGAATATCTTTACCCGCTCTTCCCACTCGCAAGTAATTTGGTAAGGTTTCTATTGCTTTTTTCACCTCATCGTCGTACTTCTTCGGATTTCAATTCGTGCGTCATTCTAGAGTATTCGTTTGTTATTGTCCTTAATTTCTTCAAACCGGTGAAATTTCTGAAACTTTTTTTGCTCCATTTGGGGAGGGAGAATTTTGATGGGAGATTAAGAAAGTAAATTGACGAACCGGATTCCCAATTTGAGACCTTGGAGATTGCAATTGAACACAAAAGGCGCTTTCTTTTGACCTGCAGCAGACATTGAGCTTTGCTGAAACCTCTCGTGAGAGTTTGGATCAAGCAGTTGATCAAGTAGTGAAGAGTGTGGGAAGCGAAGGAAAAGGGGGGTTTTGATCATGTTGGTGGGTGGTGATGGCTCTCGTATTTCGCACCACTTACGAGAGTGTAACCACCGGCACCAGTACTATAGGGATCCTCAACAAGCACTTGCAGTTGGGTTGGGGTTTTGCAGCTCCAGGATTGGTCAGCTCTCTTCCCTGATATTCAAACCTGAATCCACCGCTGTAGTTGGAGGCCGTCAGTACCATCGTGCAATGCAGCCTCGAACCTTGTGTTTCTCGAGCCTCCGGTCGAAGTCTCCTGGTGAAACCCCCATTCTATCTGATTGTTTCAGGTGACACTCTTTGCCCCTCCCATATGTGTCTATTCTCTGAAGTCTCAGTTTTGTCCTTTGTGAAAGATGGGTTGGGATTCAGAAAAAGGGTATGAATAACGAGTAGGTGATGATTTGAGGCTTTTCTTAATATGTTTCTTTTTTTTTTTTTTTGGTAAAAAGAGACACCTATGACGTCTTAGCTCGTATTAAGAATTGAACGTTCTTGGGATGTACCCATTACATCATAAAGGATCCAGTAGTTAAGTCCTGGATCGCACACGTCAATCGGATGTGTGCCAAAATGAGACTATTTTCTTTGTTAGCAAGGTAGTCTGCTGCAAAATTACATTCCCTGCATGTCTGTTTTTTTTTCTTTTTGTGAGCGATGATCTGATGTCTTTATATGTATGTAACTCTTATTTGGTGTGTTGTTTTTTTTGTTCGTGTGCTTTGTTTCCCATGTTTGGTCATGTAGCTGATGACTTTTATTTGTGCAAAGCGATAGAGAAGATGATTGCAAGAACCTTTCTGAAGGATTGTCCTCAATTACAGGTTTGTGTGCGCCCACCACTTGCCTCTCCTTTGTTGGCCATCAAATATGATGTGTTCTAGTTACTTAGCTATGCATTTGCTAGTTTGACAGAACATACATTTGCTTTAGTTGCTTCCAGTGTATTTTATTCTAGAGTTAGTTGGGGGGTTTTAACACTTCTATCCCGGCCTTGTAATGAGCAGCCCCTTGCTGTAAGGTGTCTTATTGAAATTTCATGCTATGGAAGCTTGAACGGCTTAGAGTCTTTTCCTGACCCAGGTAGAATCGTCCTGGGGTATGAATACATCTATTGATCTTTCTGACAGGATCATGTTTGGTCTGAAATTTGGATAATTTACACCATTCCTCTCATCATTTCAGGAGGAATAGTAGCACTTGGAAAGTTTGATGCTCTTCACATTGGTCATAGAGAACTTGCAATTCAAGCATCCAAGGTTGGAGTTCCATATCTACTATCCTTTGTGGGGATGGCTGAAGTACTTGGTTGGGAGCCTAGGTATTCTTCATTCAAGCATAAAAATTACAATTGTTCCTCGTTTTGCCAACAGAGCTTTTCTTTCTCAAGGCATTTGTCACACTGTAATACTGATATTAAGTTAACGTTGATATATAAACATTACCTCACAGGCCACCTATAGTTGCAAAGTGTGATCGGCATAGAGTCCTTTCGTCCTGGGCTCCTCACTGTGGAAACATAGTCCCAGCAGAGTTCCAAGTCGAGTTCTCAAATGTCCGGCATCTCACACCCCGCCAGTTTGTTGAGAAGTTATGCAAGGAACTCGAGGTTGCTGGAGTGGTTGCAGGTAAAAGTACAATCATCACTCTGTTACTGGTTCCCATTTCATTCGTCATCTCTTTAGTAGCAGCTTAACAGCAAAACCTATTCCAGGGGAGAACTATCGTTTCGGATACAAAGCTGCTGGTGACACATCCGAACTTCTTCGACTGTGCAACGAACATGGAATCCAGGCATACATCATAAATTCAGTCATGGACAAGCATCCACAAGATCCCTCAAAACTTCATAAAACTGACTCGAAAGATAAAGGGCAAGTCTCTTCCACTCGGGTCCGCCATGCTTTAGCTGCTGGTGATATGGATTACGTGGCTGAACTTTTAGGCCGCCGACATCGCCTAATAGTATCTCTTGAAGAACAGAATTGGTGTGCAAGTGATTCCAGCAGATGGAAGGTCTCTGCCCAAAAATCTAGGCTGTTGAATCTCCCTCCCAAAGATGGGGCTTACGTGAAGTGCTATCTTTTCCTCGGTGATAAGCATGATGATCTAGGGGTGCCTTGTAGAGTAACGATTGACTCCACTAGTGTCCATTTAGAGGTAGACGAGGATGCAGTAGGGTTTAGTGATTGCGGTAGTAGCCATCGAGACTTAAAGCTTGTGGGCATTGAGTTTGGCGATTAAGAAAATTGGTTCCGACTCAAATTTATTGGCTGTAATATGACTTGAGATACAAGTAATGTCTAATTTATTGTTGTATTATGTTAAAGGGTTGCAATTGCTGTAGCCTTGTCAGCCGTCCGAACTCCGAACAACTCATTGGAGTTGCTCTTTAGAAACAATTGAACAGTAAGCATAGAGATCAAATTGCATATTATACTACAGATGCATTGCAGCCGTCAAAAGGCAGTTAACTCTGAACCATGTTCTACAATTCATATGGAAAACAAACAATTTCTACTCAATCAATCATCTATATATCGAAGTAAAAAGTAACCACTGCAAATTTCAACTGTACTACATTTTACGCAACTCACAAACATATGGTTAAGCTCTGCGATAGTAAAATACATACTCCCGTTTTTGAGTAAGCTCTAATTTCAGGTCTCCACGAAGTGCTGCACATGAACAAAAAAAAAATACGCATAGGATCTTCACTTCACAAAGGGAACCCCAGAAGGAGTCCGTCCAGCATAATCTAGATAATCCGACCCGAAAAACCTCCTCAAGTAGTACTCCTCGTATGGTATCCGCTTGGAGAAGAAACGCCATACAACAGCAGCAAATCCAACTGTCGAGACTGGATTGCACAGCATGACCTGAGTGCCAACAGACCAGATCAAGAAAGCCGAATAACTAGGGTGACGAACGAAGGCATACACTCCATGAGTAACCAGCTTGTGCTGCTCCTCGTGACGGGTTCTGATGAGATGAGTAAATGCTCCTCCAGCAGTTATAATGGCGAGCTTCCTTATTATCTCCCCGATCACAACCATGACAAGACCCAAATTGCTGATCCACCAATGTTCTTTCAGTTCAGGGAACAGCCATATCTCGAATGCGTACTCCAATACCGAGAAAACCATGGCGACGAGATAGCCTCTGCTGATGAGAAGCGAGCTCAGCGAAACCTTTGATCTCCCGTGCGTGTAAACTGCTAGAATGTATTCTGATGTGTGGAAGAAGAGAATAGCCAGAAACATCTGAGACAGCTGCCTGCTGGCTGTGTGAGTGAAAAGCTCTGCCATTTTGCTGAGAACAATGCAGAAAACCTCTGTGCCTGATGAACTTAAGGTAATCCACACGAGCTTTGTGCTGTTAGTCGATGAGTTTAGGTCCAGACCAGGAACAAAAGAATAAGCACACACCATCAGAGTGCTCGAACCTCAGGTTTTGATCATCACCCAAAAGGATTAAAGGCGCTTAACTGCAGAAGAGAAGTGAAGACACTTCAGATCAGCTCACTCTAGAATCAAGCTCAAAAGTAGTTAACATGTGAAAGGATACATTTTTCTTGCAATTCTATGGCGCAATCTAATTCTACCATAGAAATATACTAATTCGAGAAGTGGGTCACATCTAAAAGTGCAATAAAGTCAAATCAGCAGAATTTGAGTGGCTATAAGAAACAAATAATCATTCCAATCAAAGAGAGAATCCAACAGAGAAACCAATTCGCTTCCATCCTTCAGATTAGTCGCTATGCCCAGCAAGTTGGAAACGCACTAAGACCTAAATTTCGTTTAAAAGAAGGGGAAAAAACAGCTGTAGCACTCCATTTTTTTATAGGTAAACTTAGCAACTCCATTCATGAGGGAGCTGTAGACAGTACCTGATTGAGAGCTTTTCCTGGTTCGCCGGAGGAGGGAACAAGGACGAATCGATTCGACCCTCCGGTAAGCGGCGGAGGAGGATGGCAATGATAAACTGCAGTTTCCCGGAGGGAGGAGGTCGATGTATTCGAAGAATACGATGAGCGGAAGAAAGTTACAGAGGAAGAATTAGTTAGGCGGGTGAAGATTCTGCCTTTCGGGGTTGGTTTAGGGCTCCCCTTGCCTCATTCGTTCTTGGCCCAATAGCTAATGAGCTGTTTTAGGTCTTACGCCTCCAGTGATATGGGCTATGCCTATGGCCGATCTCTTGCCCCTTTTATTCTTTCTTTAATTCTTTTACAACGGTAGGAGAAAGTGCATACTGCATACTAACTTGTATTTACTAAGCATGAATTAATTTGATAGTTTTCAATCTAATTAGATCAGATTGAAGTAATATATAGAGAGAAGACTATGCTAAAAATAAATCTAGAATCATTAATGGGATCCTGAGCCCTATTCGAGCTTGACTCGAGTTCATATATCATGTTATTTTTTAATTAATAATTTTTAAAATATAGATCGATTTGCTTATAAGGAGCTAGTCAAACTAGCTTGCTAGCCACATTGAGAGCTAGCTCATAAGCTCAAAACGAGCTAGCTCAAGAGTCGAGGTCAACAAACCACTAGTTGGAGTTTGCTGCAAGCTGAAAAAGACATAGCTCAAACCTAGTTTGTTAATAAAGAAGTTAGGTGTTTGAACAAAATTTTCCGAATCGAAGGCCAAACCGTTCATGAGCTACTTCAACAATCTCCCAAAAACTTGAGATTTAACTATCACTCATTTTGAGTGACAGTTTGTGTCACATGAAGCAAAAAATGTATGTATTGTTACATAAAATTAAACAAAACAAAAAAATAATACATTGTGAACAATGCATGCATTGTAACTATTTGGTTGGGATAGTTACAATGCATGCAATGTCCACAATGTATCCTTTTTTGAATTTTCTGCACAAACAATACATGCATTGTTTGCTTGATTTGACACAAACTATCACTCAAAATGAATGATAGTTAAATCTCAAGTTTGGTTGAGATTGTTGTGTTTTTTTCTTTTTCCAACTATGTCCCTACCTTTTTATGTGTTTTGCTTTTTTATACTAAAAACAAAGAATAAAAATGGCATTTCGCCCATAAAATCATATAATTTATTTAAACGCTACAATGACTATTGCAGAAACCAAACGATGTAAACTACAATACACCAATTTTCTTATATACATGTTATTATTATTCATGCATTGATGACAATAAATCGATTTAACTATCACCAAAACCACACGACCCCAGTAGTTGAAATTAAAGCCCATAACAATGATGACACAAACGCCAAGGTAACATAGCCTAGTGGTGAAACCACTGGACCAATTGAGCTCTGGATGTGGGAGGTCCTGAGTTCGGTTCCCAGTGGCGCCACTTGAGCGTTCCCGGCGGCACCCTTGGTATCGGAGGCGAAGCCTCCCCGATGTTGGTAGCAGAAAGCTCCGGTTAGTATGCAGGTACCCAATGGTTTAGTAGGCCCCGCTGTCGCTCAAGCGACACGTGGGGCTGAGGTTCCCTGGGTTATCAAATAAATAAAAAACAATGATTGCACAAGTAGCCGAACCCAATAGGAAAGGGCGAAAGGCAGAGGCCCATTCACTCATTCTTTAAACAGTAACAGCCTGAAAAAGGAGGTTCGGTAGTAACTAGTAAGTCTGCAAAGACGTGGGAAGGAATAATTGGATTCTGTCCGGCAAAACTTTTGGAATTTGGTCCGCCCGAGAGAGCATCAATACCCAATCTTCGAATGAACCCGAACGCTTAAGCTAGCGACGCCACAACTCGACGAATTGTCGAGCACAACGAAACGAACTTATTTCCGGATCGCCGCCGGAGATATTCGAAATCCAACACGCCTCCCGGAAAAATCCACATGCCCGAGCAGCAGAAGGAAGCTAACACAATTTCATCGGGCGCGATCATCGTGTTAGTCGAACTGCACGCCGGAGGAATTTGAATTCGTGCTTGCCAGAGCAGCAGAAGGGTGGAAGGGAACAGCTTCTTTTATCGTAGCTCTTCATCTGACTCGACATGTTTTCTAAATTCTTCAATAAGAACGTCGACGCAGCGGAGCAAACTCCGCCGTCTACCCAGGTACCGTTCTTTGTTGACATCTATCTATCTATCTCTCTTCAGCAGTAATGGCTGATTTCATGAAGAATTTACTGAGCTTGCTGGAGCTTCATTTGATAACTCTCATTAGCGAACGAAATTGAAGCAAAATTTTTTTTTTTTTGGGAGAATGGGCCAAGAAATGAAGAGTAGAACCAATTTTGCAGAATCATATCTGTAATTATAGAGAATTGGTATTCTTTTGGCAGGAAAATGCATCAAAAGGAAGTTTGACATTCAAAGACATAAATCCTCGTGTGAATCTTCACTATGGAATTCCTTCTACCGCGTCTGTTATGGCTTTTGATCCAATTCAAAGTCTTTTGGCAGTGGGAACATTGTGAGCCTCCAATTCTAATTGCTTTCTGAGATTATTTCAGCTTCTAATCCAGCTCACACAACTGATTTACTGCAAAGTTCATAGTTAGTGAAGTCAGGTGGTTTATCTCTTGTTTGTTATTTGGTGCAGGGATGGGAGAATAAAAGTGATTGGTGGTGATAACATTGAAGGGCTTATGGTGTCTCAAAAGCATTTCCCCTTTAAGTACTTGGAGGTTTGAAATTGTTAAGCAACAGATTTCCCCATCTTCGTTCACTATCTTATAGCCTGCGCTCTTACAAATTTAGTTCCTTCATTTTTGTTTGGCAGTTCCTACAAAACCAAGGTTTCTTAGTCAGTGTCTCGAGTGAAAATGAGATTCAGGTACAATTTCTGTGGATGCACAAAACTTAAATGTGGATGTAAATGTGTATAAAATAGGTTAATTGGCAGGTGTATGGTGTTTACAGGTTTGGGATTTAGAACAAAGACGGATAGTTTCTTCCTTGCGATGGGAGTCCAGTATTACCGCATTCTCTGTGATACATGGATCAAGCTATATGTATGATACTTGGAAAAAAGAACTCTTTCACAATTTGGTATTTAAGCGGCAATTTATTGTTATACTCTATTTGACCTGCTATTATGATCTCACTGCTTTAGGTATGTTGGAGATGAGTATGGCATGGTTTACGTGGTAAAATACAATGCAGAAGAATCGTCTCTAGTGCCTCTCCCATATTATGTTCCAACAAGTGCAATAGATGGTAATGTTACACCTCTGCCACCTCTTTTGATGAAAATAGAGTGGAATAAAGGGTTGTGTTCGAGAGCTTTCTGCGTAAGCTTCTTTTTGTGATAATTATAGATGCTTGTCCTTTTAATTATAACTTAAACTTGTGGGTTGTGGCTATTTTCTGTTCTTTTTGGGTATGTTTGTCCAATTACAAGCTGTGTTGCTGTTGCTGATATCTGCTTATGCCTGATATCTGTACATAATAAGCACTGGATTTTGCTGAATTCTGCAGAAGCATCTGGAGGATCATCATCGAACCAACACTCTATTGTAGGAGTTCTTCCCCAGCCATCTTCTCAAGGAAATAGGCTAGTGCTTCCTAAATCTTTTTTCTCATGAAGGAGTTGGAACCCTGTTAGTTGTATGTTCTTCCCTTGGTCAGTGTGAGGCTGTATGTATGCTACCTTCTTGCTCAAGTCTTCCTCTTTTTGCAGAGTGTTAATTGCTTATGATAATGGATTACTCATTCTATGGGACGTGTCTGAGGATAAAGTTATTGTGGTTAAAGGGAATAAAGATCTTCAGTTGACAAGCAAAATAGCTGTCAATTCTCAAGAAGAGTTAAGACAGGAGGAGCCTTCAGATGATGAGCAATTGGAGAAAGAGATAAGTGCTCTGTGTTGGACATCTGGCAGTGGGACAGTTCTTGCTGTGGGTTATGTTGATGGAGACATAATGTTGTGGAACCTATCAACAAGTGTTCCCTCTAATGGAAATGATGTTGTTAAGCTACAATTATCATCAAATGCCAGTAGACTACCAGTCATTGTTTTGCATTGGCGTCCAAAAAGACCACGTGATGACTGTTCTGGCCAACTCTTTGTCTATGGTGGTGATGCAATTGGATCTGAGGAAGTTCTAACGGTATGCTCTCATAATTTTTTAGGTTATTGCTTAAGTGGACCCTAGTTTCAACGTACTCACAACAAGTCATTGACACATCAAACATTAACTTACCATTGGCCATTGCAGCCTGTTTTTTTTTTTTTTTTTTTACTGTTGAGGTTGGCAAGTTCAGTTGAACAAATCAGTGCATGATACAGGAGTCCTTAGGAAGAGAAATTAAGTACAGTTTAAAAAAATCAACTAGTCAAGATGAAGTATAAGATGTAATGCTAGTGAAACAGCTGAAAAATTATTTTGGATAGACGAAAACCTGTTATTGATGGAGAAGACCTGCCTATGGATGTTATATCATGACTGATTTTTTTATGGTTCATAGACATTCATTAAGGGCACCAGTTAGAAAGCAATTATTATCTTAGCGACTTCTATCAGGTGTCATTTCTTTTCTCCAGTCTGGGATGAATCATTTTATGTCTCAAGTTCAGTAACTTTCTCATGAATTGTGCAGTTGGTTGTCTATCTTTGTCATAAAAAGATCAATTATCAAATGCATGATATTCACGTTTAACTGAAGTCTACTGATGCAGATTTTAAACCTTGACTGGTCTGCTGGAATTGGCAAACTAAAATGCATTGGGCGTACAGACATTACTCTCAATGGCTCTTTTGCTGACATGGTTCTGTTCACAAGAGGTGTTTCAGTGGATACAACTGGGATATTAGTGTTGACAAATCCAGGACAACTGCATTTTTATGACAGTGCTTGCTTGTCTAGCTTGACATCAAAGGAAAAGAAAAAAGTTACTGTGTCTCCAATTGAATATCCCATCGCCATACCTACTGTTGAACCAAACATGACTGCAGCAACGCTTGGTTTGATACGTGTAGAAGTGAATCTTTTGAGGGCTTTATCTGAGGTATGGCTTGTTTATTATTCTGCAGGAATTGTATTTAGGTTCATTTGCATGCAAAATTATGTCTAATCCCAGCCAAACAGTCAACATGAAATCAAGTTTGACTTTCAGTTTCATTGTTATCTCATCTTCGATTCGAGTCTTGTTGTTCAGGATGTAGAAACCAGACACCATTCTTCTTTTTGTCCCAAAAACGTCAAAACGCGTAGGGAACTCAGAAAAAAGGAATACAGAAGAAAAATAGACCGGATAGATGCTGTGGAAATCTTATGGTTTTTGGTCAGTCAAGTAGGTTGTTCATGAAAACTTCGTCTAAAAAAGTATAAGCATATGTATTCTTTCTTGTTATTTGCCATCTTTTCTTCGGGATATTTTTCCTTCTAGCAATCGGAATCTCCTGCATATTCTCACATATCTTCAGCTAGAACGCTTCGTGTCACATTGTTTAGTTTATATGCTCATTTACTATTTGTTCCTGTACGCTCAGTTAATACAGCTGTTCTCCTTTTCATCGATCAGAAAATCGCTGCTGTAAAATTGAGAAGGGTTGAGGTTTCTGGAAATACAGATTGGCCATTGACTGGTGGTATTCCTAGCCAAATTATGGAAGCTGAAAATTATCAAGTTGAAAGAGTTTATATAGCAGGATATCAGGATGGATCTGTCAGAATATTTGATGCAACATGTCCAACCATTTCATTATATTGTGTCTTAGGACCAGAGGTTTGTTTGACAGCGTATTATCTGCTTACAAAACTCTTATCAACCCTTCAAAAAATATCAATGGTGATAAAAGCCTAACATTGTGTGATGGGCAGGTCAAAGGTACAAGTATTGATGCAGCAAGCGCACCAATATCTGCACTGGAGTTTTGCTCCGCCAAGTTAACTTTGGCTATTGGCAATGAACTTGGTACGGTAAGAATACTTGGACCTTTTTTTTATCAAATACCTTCTTTCCGCCTCATTAAGGTCTCATGTCCTAGTCTGTCTAAGTTTTGCATATTGTGCAGGTGCTTTTATACGATTTAACTGGGACTACAGATGCAATGCAGCTAAACTGCGTTACAGAAAATGGAAAAGAAGGTTTGTTCAGTTCTATATCTTTTATCTGGATTGACTTTTTTGGTGCTTTGTATAACCATATTGTTTGTTGCAAAAGAATATCTCCTGCCTTATTTACATATTAGTGAATTGCAGTTTACACTGTACAAGGAGGGGATGAGCCTCACTGCACAGCCGTGTTTACCTTCCATACTTCACCTATAAGCACTCTTCAATTTCTGCATTCTGGATCCAGACTTGGTGTTGGATTTCACTCTGGAAGGGTGGGGAATAATTTGTTTGGCCCTTTTTCCATGTTTCTCCCTTTTATGTTGGTTGAACTATTAACTGGCAATGCCACAACTTATTTATAACACATTGGCTTATGGTGTTTCAGGTGGCATTGCTTGATATTAACACATACTCAATATTGTTTCTCACTGATAGTATGTCCAACTCCTGTTCTCCAATTAAATCGCTGGATATGAGGCCATCTACTGAAACTATTAGTGTGATTAAGGATCTAGGGCAGAGTGAAACCAAATGTATGGATAGCAGTGCCGATCAGGAAGTTTTTGTTGTAACCAAGGATGGGCAGTTTGTACTTCTTGATGGAAACACGGGAAAAATCATCATTTCTCAGTCACTTAAAGCTGAAGACGAATCCATTGTTGTTTCTATGCACATCATAGGCAAGTATTTGCAGGTTTTTGGCGGCAATATTGCAGTACTGTGGTTAAACACGACATCCCTGTGGATCTTACTGATTTCTCACAAGCTTATTACCCCCCTTTAGATAGTAGCAAGACGGCATGCGAAAGTGGAACCACCCATGGCAGTGATAATCCACTCAACACAGATGAAGAAGCTACTTCAGGAGCCTCCAGTTGTGGGAAGACAGCTGAAAGTTTCTGCCTTGTGCTTTGTTGCGAAAATGCATTGCACCTATACTCTGTCAGTGCTCTTCAGGAGGTTTTCTGTCTCTTATTTTAAGCTTCTGGTTCAGCAGTTGCAATCTTTCTCCTTTTCCAGCAAGTCACATACTTTATCATTTTTCAGGGAGGTACAACCCCTGTTGAGACGATGAATCTTTCGAAGCCATGCTGTTATGCTACAACTTTCAAGAAGGATGACAAAGATGCTGGACTCATTGTGATTTATCAGACTGGGGAAATTGACGTGAGGTGAATGACCTAGTTGCTTGGCACTCAATTGAATCTATGTATCTTGGTGTTATCCGCTCTTTCATGTTCTAGTTGCACCCATATCAAATCAGTTTTTGAGTGGAAACTGATCTATTATTTGCCAGGTCTTTGCCAGACTTTAGATTGGTGGGTGAAAGCAATTTAATGATGATTGTAAGGTGGAACTTCAAGACTAATATGGATAAGATGATATGTTCCTCAGAAAGTGGGCAGATTATGTTGGTTAGTACTAACTGCTTTTATCTGCATTCGTATTTTTCAAGGATTACAAAGTCCAGCTGATTAACTTCATGCTGCTTAGTTATTATGTTCTCAATATCACAGTACAGATGCCTGTTGCTTGATACCTTCAATAATGATTGTTGGTAAATGAATGCACCGCTGGTGTAAAAAGCCTGAAGTTTTCCTTTTACACATGAACTGAGAGCTTCTTCGGTGTTAGCATCTTGGGTTCTCTGTACTCTATTCCTTATCCACCCGTGTGATAGTCATTCTGAAGTCTAATTAAATTGAATTCCACTGCCTCTTCTCCGACTCTTTCTGACCTCCCACGAACCGAAGTCTAATTTTATCTTTCTGTTTATGTCTTTTCTTATATGATTTCTTAGCTGCCGTCTTCTAACATTTTCCTCATATCATGCATAATACTTTTGGTCATCTTTTGGAGTTGTTATCCGGAACCTTGTAATGATTGTAGTTTAGCCCTACGGTGGAAATCTAATCTCGAGAGCTGCTTCAATCTTCTTGAATTGTAGGTAAATGGGTGCGAAGTTGCTTCAGTCTCTCTTTTGGCATTTGAAAACGACTTCAGGTTTCTCTATATCATCTTCAGCCCAATTTTTTTTCTTACATTGCATATTATTGCGTTGATGCATGGATTATTATTATGTTTTTCCGAGAATGAACTTGATTTTCTAAAATGATTTTCTGCCATTCTAGGATTCCGGATTCGTTACCTGTTCTTCACGACAAAGTGCTAGAAGCTGCTATTGATGCTGCTGCCGACAATTTGTCTCCCAGTGAGAAGGATAAACAGGTAGAAGACTCTCTCTCTCTCTCCTCATTTCCAATGAACCACTTCTACAACTGTTTGAGCTTCTGTTGCTGCAGGGTTCCCTACCTGGAATTTTAGGTGGCATTCTCAAGGGTTTACAAGGAGGTAAGGTGGAGGAGCAGAAAGTGGGGTTTCCTAAGGTTGGGAAGAGTAACTTGACACATCTAGACACCATATTTTCCAATCCCCCATACTTGAAGCCTTCTTCTTTGAACTTTGACGATGACCGAAACGATGTCGTGGAACTTAGCATAGGTTCGTTTACACTGCCCATGTATTCTTCAACTTCATATCTGTCTTTCTCTAATGGTCTCACTACGTGGCACAGATGATATCGACCTCGATTTTGACCAGCACGTGGTAGTGGAAGCATCTTCCACCGAGGAGAGCAACAACGAGAAGAAAGGTATGTCATTTGAATGTCTGATGTGGGGCAGGTACTTCTGAATGCGACACGATTCTCAATTTTGTGCTGCTGCAGACAAGGGAAAGGAAAGAGAGAAGTTATTTGAAGGTGCAACGACTGATTCAAAGCCCAAAATGAGAACAGTTGAAGAAATCAAGGCCAAATACGGAAAGGAGGTTTGATTCCCATTGCCCCCCACGATCAGTTGATCCATACATTTCACTTCTGTTCTGTTGGTTTTGGCTTCTATTTACTACTATCGTTGCATGGCTGGCAAATCTTTTCAGGATGCTGCTGGAGCAGCTGCACTCGCGAGGAACAAGCTTGCCGAGCGTGGTGAAAAACTTGAGGTGGAGTGTTCAATGAATATCCTTCTCCTTGTGTTGTTTCATAAATTGTGTTACCTCCTGGCAGATGCATTTGCTAAAACCATATATCAACCAAATTATTCAATGACAACCAAGAGAATCCTCGGCTAACATACGCCCCAAAAACTCAACCAATCATTGTGTTGGTTTTGGTTTAAGCTATTCACGTTGCTTCTTACTGACTTGAAATGTTTTTCTCTGTTTTCTTGTATGCTTTACTGCAAACCAGAGGCTGAGCCTGCGAACAGAGGAGCTGCAGAATGGTGCTGAAGATTTCGCATCAATGGCTCAGGAACTCGCTAAGCGAATGGAGAAGCGTAATAAATGGTGGCAGTTATAATCATATCAGATCCCGTACCCAAAACAGACATTATATTCGTTAACGAGCTTGCTTGGCTTTCAAGGTACAGAAGAAAAGAAGCCATTGTTGACCCTTCGTTTGGGTGGATACCCCAGTTACCACACTGTACCCAATCTCCAACCCCTACATTTTGACGTGTGCATAAGATATATGCATATTTAAATACAGCTACCGCCTAAGCTTGTATATTGTGATTTGTGAATACAAAGAACACCTGAGTTTACATGAACACAATGTTTGACTGTCTAAACTAACAACATACACTGCCCACACCAGCCATAGGAGGAGGTGGATAGAATGATGAAAGTGTGCTCTCTGCGCAAAAAGAAGAGTGAATCCTATTCACTAGCTCGAGCCTTCCTGTTAGAAGCCTTGCATGACGCAGAAGTGTTTTCTTCTTATGGTTCTCACCTATGATTCTGTCTTCTTCTTCTCACCTGTGATTGCCGTCTTATTTCTTCAACTTCTCGTCTTCTCAGAAATCATTGAATCAACATCAGTTTGGCTAAAAAGAAGGCATTCCATCAATGAATGTGCCCATAAATGAACCAACTTAGAGCTCAGATCTCCATGCATGAAGTGCAGCAGAAAGATGAATAGGATGTGATACCTAGTGATATGGGGGGACTTGGGAACCTTAACGTATGGCACTCATGAATGAGGATATTCTGGATTGATCCTTGGTGATTCCATCTGAGCCACAAATGCCACTGCTAACGTCTATGCCATCAGGCTGAAGGGTTCTCAAAGCTTCAGAAACGTTTTCGGGATTTATCCCCCCTGCTAATAGCCAGCCATGCTTGCTTCGTATTGGAGGTAACTTAAACTGAGCCCAGTTGAATCCCTTGCCACTGCAATCAGCATTAGGCAACATATTCAACAAGTTGCATGATTTGGCTATACTAAGATCACAGTCTAGTCAACGACACAGATTAATAAACATGTAATACTCAAGAAGTGCTGACTTGAAGTAGATGAACGCATTGGTATTAGGGTAGAACGCCCACCAAGCCAAAGTTTAGCAATAGCTTATTGTGATGTTGCATCTATATGCCATTGCACAGACGAGTATCAACTTGCTAAATAGCAAGATTGCTTGCTGATTCAACAATTCGACTGGCAATGCACATGGCATTCGTTCCTTTTTCCAATTATGTTTGTTAGTTTATTATTTAGCAAATTACACTTGAATCGAGTATAATGTATAAAAAATATAAGGGATTCTATCTCAAATTGCAAACCAATTCAGAGATGTAGGCGGTCTGAAACTATTGAATGAAGTAATTGCTATAACTGTTACCTGCCCCCAGTTGAGCTATCAATGAGAATCCAGTCGACCAACGAACTTTCTTCATCTGAAACTTGATTTAGGAGCTCCCCATCTTTGTTTGCGTGAAGAACATAGACTATTCGTGTATCTTGTACTAGTTGTTGAAAAGCTTACCGTGAACCAGACCCATGAAGCTGAACAAATTCAAGATCAGCAACTTCAGCAGCTCTCATTATCGTTTCTGCATCATCATCAACGAATACACCGACAGGTTGCTCTCCATTTTCCCTTGCAACTTTTGAAATTTCTTTTGCAACAGAAAGTGAAATTGATCGTTTAGAGTTGGGCCACAGAATCATCCCTATATAATTAGCTCCAGCTTCTGCAGCGATTACAGCATCTCTAGCTGACGTTATGCCACACATTTTAACCACTGGTGATCTCTTCTCATGTTCCTTACTAGCGGAAGATGCTTTCACTGGTAAAGTAGACAAGCCAGTAACTCTGTTCCTTGACCAAGACTGAATTGTCAGCCAGTTCAGTCTCCCAACCCTCACACCTGCACATGCCAAGCTCCCACTTTACCATGTTCTTGTCGCCAGAATTTGTACATTCTAGAATACCTAGTGAAACCTTTAACAAGAATGAATGTACAATGTTAAGTTTTCCAAGACTCTTTGATCTCGTGGTCGATATTCTTGAAGAGGCGAAACATACCAGGAGCATGCTGTCTTTCGAGCTTGACAAAACCGGGCTGTACATAAGTTGCTGAGTTGATGTCCATCCTGCAGTCAGGAAAGGAAATGGCGAATGATCCTTTTACCTCAATCTTAAGGCGATTGTTCCTTAAAGCAAGTCACATATCCAGTTCACTCTTAGGGACACTGCTTACCCAATTTGACTCATTAAACGGTCCAAAACCACCAAGTTTTGCATACATCTCTCCTCTTCCCATAAGTTCTAACACTTCATCATTCATACATCTCTGAAACCGATGCCCGCAACGTAGCTAATAGAACCCGTGGGCCGAAACAAACCATTCTTCGCCGAAAGTTTGGAGAAACACAAGAAAATCGAAAACCCTAGTCTCCTAAACTCTGCAAAATCAACTGTCGAGCTCTCAAAATCTTACCTTGCACGCAGAGAACGAAAATGTCGAGCAAATTCCACCGCTGCCCCCTGCTCTTGATTCAGCCTGCCGAGTCGTCGTCGTCTCCGCCGCTCATCTCCAGTCGGCCACTGGAACGCCACGCTGGAAAGGACATAGATGTATTTGCGCCACGTCAGGCCTTTCTATAGTTTATAAGCGGTGTCGTTTCATTGAGTCGATATTCCACGGCTGCATTTGCAAATGAGGTGAGCATTATTCGTATCATTTCATTAGAATGGAATATTGACGTTAAAATAAGATTATTGACGTCTTTTACGGGGGGAAAAATAGTGAAACTTGAAAGGCTGAGTTGAATGAAACACAAAATTTAAAATATTTTTCGTACTAATTTGTTGATAGTGTTAATTATTTAAGCAATGATGGAGCAAGATGAAGGTGGGATAAAAAGAGAAGTCATTATTCTTTTTCTTTTTGTCAATTCATATAGGAATTATTCTCGATCACAATTTTTTTTTAACTCCTTACTTCTATCCCATCTTTTTTTTTTTTGGAATTGATTCCGAACAAGTTGTAGGAGTAGGATCGTTATCATAATTAAACAAAAATTACGATAATTGCTATGTTGATTTCATCATATATATATAACGGATATGAACTTGAAACAAGTCATTGATCCCCATATAGAGGTTCGTTTGATTTCTATGATTGTTTTGTTGTGATACAGTATTTGTATTGTCTACAATTCATTGATTTTTTATTTTTTATGCACAAACATTATGAATGATTGTACAATCTCAGCTAACAGCTGAGCTTGTTGAAATTTTCTAGTTGAGATTATTTTCTTTCAAAGAAGGGTACAAGTGACATTTCCATTAAAAATTGACTTTTTTTACCCATTAAAAACACAAACACATACTAAACGTTGTGATCTACATTATATCAAATTTAACGATGCATTTATAATATATACATGTATTAATCATAACACATCGATTTGACAATTAGAGAAACCAAATCACCCGTAGAATAATGGTGGGGAGAAATGTGGGAAAAGATCAAAAGAGGCGGAGGGGAAGAAAGTTAAAGAAAGAATAAGCCAATGGGAAAGGTATTTTATGAGATAAGAGGGGGCCGGCCAGCCAATACCCTTCCTCTCTCTGGCCTCTGCTACTTCAAACGCAGGCGACAGCGCACGCCTAATCAAAAGAAAGAAAGTAGCGGAGAAAGCCAGAGAAAAATGAAATAAATCGATGAGTGAGAGAAGGAAGATGATGAGGATGGCGGGACCTCCCTCTCCCTGTCAATTTTCATGGTGGATTGTTGTACTTGGTCTTGGCCGCGGCTGGCCGGAGAGAGAGAGAGAGAGAATGATAATCAACGAAAGCAGGCCAGCTCCATTATTATTATTTTCTATGCTTTCCTTTTCTTCTCCTTTCATTAATCCCCAAACCCACAACAAAACAAAACAAAACATCAGAGGTAGCATCGCCACCGTCCCCCTAGGTCATGGTCGGCCGATTTATTCCATTATCTTGATGACATCTGTCCTTTGACAAGTCATGGTGGAAAGAAAGAAATATCCCCTTTTTCCCCACCCACCTTCCATCAAAATGAAAATGTATGCACCTAGAAACAGAAAAGATCAAACTGCTGTTTGTGAAATCGTTTTTTGATCGGAAAAAACTTTGACCAATATAAAATGATTGAAACACGATCACCATTCACATCTTCGTTGTTCTTCGTCATTGTCGCCGCCGCCGCCCCTGTTCTCAAGGCGGCTCTGCCATACAACATATAGTGCCATGGCACAAACTTACAGTTTAAAGATAGATAGATACATATGATGATCATTAAGGTAGGGTAGCCAGAGAAAAAATTCAAAATTTGCAACCTTTTCCATCTTATCTACGAGCTTGTTGGCTTCCATGGAGCCAAGAGAAGAGATCGACATCATCTAGAAGTAAAGACTTGCGATATATAGAGATAAAAGAAGAAAACGATGACATGTTTGGACTAATTCAAACTAAAGAGTCGAATAATGATGGAAACAGCAAGAACAGAGAGATCATATTTAAACAGAAATGGCCCTTCTCTACCATTTTCCTTATAATTATTGAAGAGGTTACAGGGGAGGAAGAACACAGACACTCCCTCTCTCCTCCCTCAACCATCAAACCTAGAGCGAGAGGCAGAGAGAATATAGAAAATACATTTCAAGATATATATATTAAATTAATTAAAGAATATATAATCACCTTAACTATGAACCTAGCCTTTTTTTTCCCCTTTCCTGTCTGTGCCTCCTCAGTTTTGCACAGAGAATGTAAACATAATTAGTAAATAAGAGATTACTAAACAACAATTGCAATATCAATTTGAATAATAAAGAAGAAAACAACTGTCAGGTTGATCATCATCATCTCCATCTGCATCCTCGCGATCATCAAAGGGAGGTTTCTCCCCACTTGAACTTATGCCACCATCTGCTCCTGCTCTATATACATCTGCTCCATCCATGGTGGAATGGAAGACTCACGAACGCCACTCCCGTTGCTGAAACGATTCTCGCGAAAACCACCTCCATCGATGCTAGAAGGAACGTCCTTGACCAGCGAGTTAACCCACGAAACGTCTGGCTCGCCATTGTTCGACATAGCCAAACTTGCAGGCCTGGTTGTGGGGCTATTGTTGTGGCTGCCTCTGAAGCCGAAAGAAGCAGACCTCTTGAGCTTGTTAAGCTCGTCTCCTTGCATCCCCCAATCGAGCCTCCCGTCGGGTGAGCCCCAGTCGGAGAGATTGTTGGGGGGTGACATCATCGAAACTGAGTTGGCTGTCGGCCCGGTGAATCCATGGCGGTTGTTGTTGGCTGCTGCACCACGGTCAATGAAACTCTGGCTCCGTTTTGTAAAAGCCGAGGACCTAGAGTTCATCACAGCAGCAGCCACTGCAGCGGACGAATCGAACCCTCCATATGACCCGAGCTTCCTTACCGATTGGGGAGATGACACATTGGAAGGGTAACTCGATCGGAGTTGGTTCACGTTCTGGCGCATCTGAAGACCCGTTGGAGAATGATATGAATCATCTAGGTTAGTAGGATTCAAGTCTCTCCAGCAGGTTGGTGAGGAGAGACCCGAAATCTCTTCCATCAACTGCTGTTGATGTAGCTGGTTGGTCTGGTTCTCGAACCTGAGCAACTCCAGCTCCAAATCGAAATCTCGAGCATTCATAGCAGTCTTCAACCTGCTTCCTGGATGTTGCAAAGCAGGTGGGGTGAAGTTGATCTTGTTCTGCCACAACCCCCCACTCTTTGGGGACGAAGACGCAGTTGCTAAAGGTGACATGGGAGGAGTGGAAGCGGTAGGCAATGACATAGACATCGAACCCAGAGATAGTGGGCTCAAAGAAGGCATCTCCATTCCAGAAGCAGAAGACCTGGGAGGAGAAAGCATAGCTGAACCTGTGGCGGCATGGACTGGTCTCAACTCCTCAACCTTGTGAGCAAAGAAACAGACTTTCCTCCCACAACCAGTCTCGTCCTTGCAAAGCCTTGTCCGATACTGAGCAGGATGCAGCCACGACTCGAACACACCATGAGCATACTCACAGGAATCAACCTTCTGGCACGAGCCCTTTCGGAATTCAGGGCAAGGGACACAGCTGTAAGGGTACTTCCTTGGGTCCCTTCTCCTAGCGTTCTCCCCAGGGTGGACAAAGGGACACTCGGTCCAGTCATGGGAATATGCCCTCGAGCATGGCTTGACCTTGAATGAATACATCCTGAACTCATCGGTACCATACACCCCGGTGTTGATATCAGGGAGCGACACATCGATAGGATACTCTTTCCTCTCCGTAGCTCCCTCTTTAGCAAGCTGAGTAGGAACTGCCATGATAAGCTTCTCCTCCTCATCTTCACTCAAACTCTCACCCTTGAGCAACGACTCGATCAGCTTCCTCCTCGAATTGCAAGGGCATTTGGAGGAAGACATGAAGAGATCCTCCGGCTTGTTTCCATTAACATCGACACAATCAGCATCAGCCGAAGCATCAAGCAACACCTTGACGATCTCGGCCGAGGAATTCGAGCCACCAGCTACAGCACAGTGCAACGCAGTAACCTTATCGGAGCCACAAGCTCTGTTGACATCGACTCTGCCAGTTGCAATGATGTACTTCACCACGCTTGTGCTTCCGAACAAGGCAGCAATCATGAGAGGGGTTCTGAGTTCAAAACCCATCTTCCGAGAACCGTTTCTTCTGATATACCAGTAGCTTGCTTCATTAACATCCAGCCCTTTTCCCTCGACTTCGTTTCTGAAGAAAACGAGATCGTCAGAGGCAGCAAGCTCGAGCAGAACTGAGCAGGTAGACAAGGTGCTGCCTTTCTGCTTAAACGAAGGTTCTTCCATGTTGTTGGTGTTGGAAGGCGAAAGAGCGGTCTTAGAACCTTTGCACATAAGTAGCTCCTGTAAAAGGAAATTTCAACCAATTAAACACCGCCTCAAACCAAATTCACAACAACAATAGATGTGCTCGAAAGTCTAACCAGAAAACCTAAAAGCTGGATAGGAAAAAAGAAAACCCTTTAAATCCAGAAAGTTCCATTGATGGCCTGAACAAGAAGAATTCAATTCAACAGAACCAAATATTGAAATTTTATCAGCAAACCCCAAATCCCCAATTCCATCTCAGCCTATTCCTACCTAAAAATCAAAACCCACCAAACTTCACAACACAAAAAGTAACAGGGAAAGAAATTAGAGCTATAAAACGACGACAAGTCAAATCCAAACCCCCCCAAACGAAGACTTAAGGAAGTCTTTGAAGAAGAAGTAGCCCGTACAATCCAGGCAAAACCCAGAACCAAAGTTTCAAACTTTTTTCACCAAATCAAAACTGAAACCCACCAAACCCAGAAGACAAGCGGTGCTTACCTATATTCTCTTCTGTCGAGAGATGGGTAGGATTAAGTAAAACCAGAGTCTGCGTCAGAGTCCAACAAGCTCTGCTTTTCCTTATTGAATTGAAGAGATTGAACGGAATTGAGAGAGAAAAAGAGAGAAGGGTTCTCTCGGTTTAGTTTTATGTGTTACCAGGGGGAGCGAACTGATTGAGAGAATGAAGTGAGAGGCGCGTCTCTATATATCGAGGGGCTTTTTCTTCCTACCCTTGTTCAGGTTTTCAGGAAGGAGGGAGGAAAGTTAGGAATTTTCTTCTTCAGCATCAGCCCTCTTAATTTTATTTTATTTTTTTCTCTTTGCTTTTGCTGTGCGGTGTGCGCTCCTCTTTTTTGTTTCTTTTCCCCTTTTTTTTCTTTTTCAATTTTTCTGTATGGTTTTGATTTAAGAGTCAAAGTCAAAGCTTCAAAGGGCTTAAGAAAAGGCTGTCTTTCTCCTTGATGATCTCTTTGATGATCTAATCAGCACTGCACTGGGTTGTTCTTTAAATGCAACTGAAATGAAATGCAAATTGCATGTGTAAATTGAACCTTAATGAATTTGGAATTTTGCTGGGAGGAAAGGGTGTTGTGGACTGTGGGCCCAAAAATGGGTCATCCCGTGTAGAAGAACTAGAGAGGGGGAGAACCGCCTCAACGAGTCATCACCCTCTATTGTCTCACGCGCTCCCTTGGTTACGTGGTGCTCACTCTCCCTTCTTTATTCTCTTTTTGTATCTTATTTTCAACATGTGATATTTTATGGAAAAACTAAAATATGGAAAAAAAACTAAAAAATTAAAACACACATAAAAGTATGGGCAGCGTTTGGTGACATAAAAAATTGTATTAGGATTAGTGAGTTATGGTAATCCATGTATGTTAATAGTATGATTGTACTTTGGCTGCTTGTTATTCATTTGTTTTTCTATAGTGCGAGAGTGTGATTAAGATATTCTGTTGAATATTGTTTGGAGTTTAAAATCTGTGTTATGGGTGGCGAATGAGTGGAAGAACTAAAATGTGAGAGTGCTCGTCAGAAATTTCTCTTGATATTGTTCGATATGACTGACTCAAATATCTTTGATAACTTGCCATAAAGCAATCAATAACTGATATGTGGTGTTAAATGGACCAATATATAAGATTATAACTTATAAGTATGATATGGTTATGATCTTCTTCCCGTTTGAGGCATCCAGGGGAATTGTGACTCTCATGAAAGAATAGGAACGAAGGATCATATGCCTACGGATGTGGATGAAACACAAACAGTCATAGGGATTAAGTGTAGCGACTTTTGGATGCAACACCCCCAAAATCTTGTTATGAATAGTATCTCTTTGAGCAATGGCGGACCCAGAAATTACATCAAGGATATTCAACGATAAAATAAAATAACCAAGGATTGTCGATATAATATTGACTTCAAATACTTCCATCATTGAAATAAAATTTACAAAGGAATTGTGTCCCAAAACTGGAACAAGGTTTGTCAATTGACAAACCTTTAGACAACCTAGGTCCGCCCCTGTCTTTGAGCATGAGATTTTCGTTAGTAAAATGAATTTGTTGCCGTTTACCCCAAAATGTTTTTACCTCTTTAAGTACCATGTGTTTTTTTAGCTGGCCACTTTAGATAGTATGGCTAGAGGGATTTTCTTATTTGTCAGCTTGAATTGTGCTTTGTTGGATAATAATAATTGGGTCGAGGTGACCACTAGTGTGCATGGTTACCATCCAATATGGTGACAACTCCTGTTATTAATGTTGTCCCTATTATCATCCAATTCCTAAATCAATGTTATCATCCAAGATCATGATTACCATTCGAATCTCTAGCGAATGATATCATTCACTTCCATGATTACCATCCATGTTTAAGTGTGGTGTCCATCTAGTGTCATGCTTACCATTCAAGTGTATGATTTTCAGTCACGGTGGATACCATCAAATTCATAAATGGATAATATCATCCACCCCATGATAGTAATTCCTAAATGGATGTATTATCCATGTAACAAAAAAGACACTATCTACGATGACCATTCAGAAAGCATGACGGATGAATACTATTAACATTGGACGTGTTCAATGACTGTTTAATGACATCCAACTGGCGTAGCGACTACGTTAATTGATGATTATCTCTGTAGATGGTGGATGGTTAATATGACAACCAACTCGCACAGATATAGCATTGGACCTCTACCATTTCTTGGTGTTGACAATTTCTCATGTTTTAATGAAGCTTTAAGCAATATAAGTTTTCGATGCAAAATTCCCAACAAATTAGACCGGAATGACTAAGAAACCGGCTAGGAAGTGCAAATGGGTAAAGGAAAGAGCGGGAGAGGAGAGGATAAGGAAAGGGAAAGGTAAGGGAGAAAAGTGGCGAGACGAAGAAGAAGAAACATTCCAACTTGGTAGTCTGCCTTTGCTCTTCAGTCTACCCAAACGCTGCCTTAGCTCCACTGCTTTTTAATAAATCTCCTACTTTCTTTCTTTCCAACCTGCCCCCTAACTTTTTCCTTATTTGCCCACGTACCCTCCTCCACTCCACTCTCCCCAATCTCCACGGACGAATTCCACCAACACACGCGCGCACGAACAGAAAAGAAAAAGGAAAATTAAAAAAGAAAAAGGCAGCTCCCACTTATCCCATTCCGCGCCAACTCAAAGCGCGTTTCCAAAAAATTGCTGCTTTCTAGGCCTCTCTCTCTTTCTTTTCTGTTTCGCCGAGAGAGGAAGGATACTGATTTCACCGTGACTCATCCTTCCACTCACAATTTCCGGCCTCCTTCCTTTTTTTCTTCCCAGCAGCTCCCATCTTTTCCCGTCTCCTTTCCTTTCCCTTCCCTCTTCTCTACTCTACGGTTTTCTTTTCCTTTCACTTGAATAACCATAGATGGTAATCGGGCCAAATAGTTTTATTCCCCATGTTTCTAAAGCGTTTAAAACATGCCTGAAATTTCCCAGACCCTAACTGCAGTTCGATCCCGGGTTTCGGTGTGTTGAAATCGTGAAACCGTTATACTTCTGGGATGGTTGTTAACATATATACAAGCAGAGAGGGACCTTTTTTTCCCTCGCATAGCTGGGCACTGCAGGGTGGCAATATATAAGTTTGACGACAAAGGCATGTGGATCATTTACGTGTTGTTGTACAACGCGAACTTACCTTGTCATGTAACTTAAGGTCCAAACTCAACCAAACTGCAACAAACCAGTTGGTTCTAATAACTCGAATTGTTGGGAGAAGTTTATTACTAAAGTCAGCTTGCAGGCTTGAAGTTTGTACAAGCCCGCCATATGTCTTACGTTTTAATCAACTATTAATATTGTGGATGTGCAGATTCGCACACACAATCACTTGGCTAAACCAGTTATCAAATTGTTGTCCCAATAACTCAAATTATTGAAGGAAAAAAATATTATGAATCTTATACCTTAGCTAAACAAAGCTAGCAAGCCAACAGGCATCGTCACAAGCTGCCTAGGGGATGGGGGAAAAAAGTAAAAAACTAGTGATAAGAGTCCAGTCCATCCTTTTTAAGTTGGGAAAATCCCTAGGAAGGATCTAATTTTTAGATGCATGCATTTGCATGATTAGTGTATATAACTATATATGCATGCTAGCTGGATGAAGCTCCTAGTTTGTTATACAAGGAGAAACTCTCAGCTGTCTCCTATGTTGTGCTTTTGCTGTCAACTGCTAAACTAAACAAGCCCTTATTTAGTTAGTCTGTCAAATAACTGTATCTTGGGATCCCCTTCAAAAAAAAAAAAAAAAAAACTGTATCTTGGGATCTTCTCTTTTTTCCCTCTTTCTTTGACCTTGTTTTGACGCTCGTTGTGTATCATCATCCGCTATCTTTTCTCTCTTGCATGTTTCCAAGTTCAACAACAAAACCTTGGATCAATTTTGGCCACTGCTGCTTATTTTCCAATTTGACTTGGAACACAATTCCGTTTTAGTTTGACCCCCTTTTTCACAATATTTCAACAATGGTTAAGTTAAGTAGAATCATCATCACAGAAAATGATTACTGGAAGAACATGTTTGTTGGTCCAAGGTTATCATTAGTTTGAACTTGACAACAAAATTGTATTATTGGGATACCTTTATTATTATTATTATTATTATTATTATTATTATTATTATTATTATCCAAAGTACAACCATTACATTTACAGGTACCATACTGAATGATCATTAGTTGACTCTATGGATCCCATTCCCAGGTGCAATAATGCATTAGTCAGCTTAACGAACCACCCTCTACTTATTTATTCTAGGGCAATGTCTATTTTTTACACAAACCTTTTTCATATTCTTTTATTTTAACCAAATCTATAAAAATTCTATTTATTATCCAAACGTATTATAATTTATCAAAGTCTGGGCATTCATTCTGTTACCGTTACTTATTTCGTCCACGTGAGGGGTGAAATTTTGTTTTGTTTTTTTATATTCTTTTTATTAAAAATAGTAAATGATGGTATTCTGACCGCCATGTA